ACTATAAATACTTTTTACTATCAGCCAAACACAGATATAACTCCTGGAGGCATTTCCCACCTTTCTCATTTCATATTGGTGGTGATGGGGTGATGATACCTTGACCTCCGAGATAGTTCTGATCTGCTAAATTTTAACTTAACTTTACCTCTTTCTCCTCCCAAGCTCTTGGAACAGATTTGTATGTCAAGAATTAACCTTGTTTAGCCTCCTCACTTGCCCTTACTCTTGTTGCTGCCTTACTGTGATAGTCATTGGTGATCTTAGAGTCTGAGGTAGGAGATAATTGGTGTAGTAGAAGTTAGGCTGAGATCCTGAGACCATTGCCTGGTTGATTTTGGGGGCAAGAGAAGGTTATTTTTGTGGGGTTTTTTAAAGGCTATGCTAACACTTATCATCTATGAAGCTATCATGTTTATATTTAGGTTTAAACATTTCACATTTAAAGGGGAGGCCTGGAATGGGGATAGGATTCAGTTAAAGTAAGATTTAAATGTTGCTACATACAGCTAATTTCTTTCTTCTTAAAAATCATTAATGTTTTTGAAATCTCAGAAATGTTTTTCAATTACTGACTTATCAAATTTGCATTTTGTTAAGCAATACGAGGATTCTCTCCACCACATAGAATCTGCAGTTTTGAAGAGGCAAAGGGTTTGGATAGGATCAATGAGAGAATGCCACCCCGGAAAGATGCTGTACAGCAAGATGGTTTCAATTCTCTGAACACCGCACATGCCACTGAGAACCACGGGACTGGCAACCATAGTGCCCAGTGACCCACGGCTTCCCAGGGACTCTCACATCTCGGGCCCCAAATGGACAGATCACCCGAGGAGCTGGAGGGGTCGGCCAAGCTGACTGTAAATGTCACAGTCCCTCTGAAGAAACCATTGTGCTTTTGAGACCCCGGACCCCTTCCTGGATGGAGGCTTGAGGGCCCTGGGACATGTTGTGCTATCTGATAAGACTGGGTAATCGCTGCCAAGGTGGAGAGCAGTGAGCAAGGGGCTTGGGGCAATTTCCAGTGGAGGGCAACTATACCTCCATTTATGCTTGTGGTTCACACATTTAAGTTTACAAATGAGATTTCTTTTTCCCCTCGGTAGAATTAGATTTCGTTTTTCAACCATGACTTCAAATGCAATCGTACGAGCTAATGTGGACTTTTTTTTCCCCATGAAATGTCTTTAAAGGATGATTTAGCATGGTCTTAAAATACATTTCTGAGGTTACTAAGCTGTATTTTGGATTATGGGCAAAATGCTGAGAAACCCAGTTGGTATTTATACAAAATGCTGACCTCAGGTCTATAGTTCTTAAATGTGGCTAATTCTGTAATATAGTCTTGGTATTTTTGAATTATGAATGCATAATCTATTTCTAGGCAGAGTCTCTTACTTGAACACAAATCTAAAAACTAATTTAGAATCCTTTTTGCCCATATCTTTTGAGATTTACACCCCAGAGACTTAAAAAGAAAACTTCTAAATTTCAAAATTATGAAGAATTACAGAATTACTCATTTAAGGTACTTTAAAAGAAGTTTGTACATTGTCAAAGTAAATTTTAATTCAAATCATGTCTGTAAAACTTGACGTATTTTGTGTATGCATGTTTTCATTTTGCAAATATTTAATATATAGACCTATGATGTACAGGTACGACATGTATAGGTTACCTAGATGTTATGAGAAATTTTAGTTTATTGTGAGTACTCAAGTTGCTTAAATAGCCACCAGGGTGATTTGCTGCTGGCTTTCTATGATTTTTATGTTTTGATGCAAAGAAAATTTTAAAATGTTCTGGAAGTGTTTTTGATTAAGCAAGGCAGCATAGAAGCAATGGTTCTGTTCAATCATTCAGATGTTAGTGGAAGCATAAAAGTCAAGACTGCATGTTGAACATTTTCTTTTGATAGTTACAGAACTGCTTGGTTAAACTAAATGGAACCATGTGCTAATTTTTCACAATAATTGATCTGTATTGATTACCACTGTAGTTTGGTATTTCCCTTTACTTTGGTGGCCTGCTTCCCTCATGCCCTGAAATACAACTCAGAGCTCCAGGCAGCGGAACCATCTATTGTTTTGTTTGCCAGAAAGTGCACCCTGTATGGTCTCCTGTCTAAGTTGGAAATATTATGCATGTGCAGGACTATTCGAATATTTTATAAATAGTAGCACACAATAAATTCCATGCATGGGCCGCTGCTCCTATCTCTGTGTTGGGTTTTATTTGAAAGATATAGTCTGATTTGACCTTATGCAAATCAGAAAATCCTGTTAGTAGAACTGGGATATATCCTTCAGAGAAGGTTATCTCATGGATAGTTCATGGTATTTTGATGAATTAAATTCTCATCTTCTAAATTTTGCGCTTTTTTTCTAACTTTGGTTAAACTTGTTTTACGAGCATGAGTAACTAAGCACTAGAGAACTTTGGGTGCCTATTATAGGCCTCCTAAATTGAATATTTAAAAATCACTGTTTCACTTAACTTTTACTATTTTTTTGTGTGTGTGTGTGTGAGGAAGATCAGCCCAGAGCTAACATCCATGCCAATCCTCCTCTTTTTGCTGAGGAAGACTGGCCCTGAGCTAACATCTGTGCCCATCTTCCTCCACTTTACATGGGACGCTGCCACAGCATGGCCTGACAAGTGATGCATCGGTGCGTATCCAGGATCCGAACCCGGGCCGCCAGCAGCGGAGCGTGTGCACTTAACCGCTACGCCACGGGGCCTCACTTAACTTTTAATTGAAAGAAAATGTTATTGTCTAGAATTTCTTTATAGTAGTATTGGGAATTTATTGGGTGTTTTAACAATAAGAAAAAAACATAGTTATATTCCATTTTCCAGACATCATATTCCTTTCTTCTTTGCCATAGTCAAAATAAGGATAGAATTTTGCAAATTGAAGGAAATTAGGATGTTGCTCAACATTTTAATCATATATAGTAACTTTATATATATAATCATATAGTAACTTTAATTATAGTTTTCAACAATAATTATAATGATACACATTATAAAGTATTAATTTAAATCCAAATGTATATACTTGCCTAATTGCAGGTAGCAAACAGAACTCAAATTGTTGATTATTACAGCTTCTACTTGCTGTAATATTAACTTGCATACCAGTCCATGAGCTGCCTTTCAAGTTATTATGCACTGCATACCTTAAGGATTCTTCTTGATGTTATTGTTTTACGAAAACTGTGCATCTCTAAATTAAGAGCTTAACTAGTCTATCAGGTACCAGGGACTTCCTTAGCCCTTAGGTCCATCACTGGGGTTATATAGTGTTTGTGGGAATCATGGGCAAACATAAAGCATCATTAGCAAACTAGAAGAGTTATGAGTTGATGGTAAAAATTAAAAAGAAGCAAGTGAAAGCAATGGAACTCAGAAAAAGGGGTATACATGAAGAGTGGTAGAATATCACCCAGTGCCTCACAGGCCACTTCCTCCTTGTTGAATAGAAACCTCTTTCTAGTCTTTCTTCATAACTAGTTTCACAGTGAACCATGGAAGTATTTTTTAAGGTTTTTTTTTTTAATGTAACTCATAATGAAGGCAAATTGTGAAAAGTTCAGATCTTTCTAATTGTAAATTTAAATGTCTACCAGACAAGTAGTAATGAGAAAATGTAAATTAATATTCAATGTCAATTTTTTTCTATATATTATCTCTTATATTCAAAGATGACACTCCTCAGAAAAGAATCTCTGACTTCTTGTATCTTCTGCAGTTCAGCCGTTATTAACAGAACTCATAACCTTTACATGTTCTGCCAGTTAAATTTGAAATTGGCCTGAAGCCTTTGCTTAAAATGAATCACCCCTATTTTATTCAGGATTTTTGCCTATTGCAACTGATTTTCCTTTGTCCACAACTAGTCTACATAATGTTATGTAATGTTTTGTTGCATCCTTAACACTTTCCTTCTACCTTCCTTGCTTGTAGTTTGCTTTCTACAGTTTGGGGTTCCTTTGAAATCCATTCTCTGCATCTGTTCATATGTAGATTTGCTTTGCCACATTCCAGGACCTCATTGCAAGTGTTTCTGTTCCCCAGTTTGATGATGTTCACAGAAGCAGGTAAGTGACATAGCTGGGGCCAGATGTAAGCGGCAAGTCAGGTCGTGTAGCCGTATAGGACCACTGACCTAACAACTTCTGATAGGTTCTGGAGTTTGATAGCTCTAAGTGAAAAGGAGCTAGGAATGTGGAATTCCCTGGATCGCATCCATTACAGGAAGGAATGAGAAGATGTTTGAGTTGATTCTTTTCTATTTTCTGTTCCTGGAAATAGTATGCATTTTTAGTTATTAATATTTTGGTCTTGCTTACTTCAATATTCCAGAAATATTTATTCCTCCTTTGAAACAAACAGGTGGAGTTCCCCTGATGACATTCAGTCGGAAAGTATCTTACTTTCCTTTCAGGGAAAGTGAAATTTACAAATTAATTCTGGATATTTCCCCTACAATTGATTTCCTTCTATACCATTAAATGACTATTTCTATTTTCCTTTCTTGGGTATTATATTTGTACTTAAGCCTAGACTGGTCATGGATGAGTTGTGTTTGAGCAGTGTTTGTTATGCTAAAACGGACTTTGAGCTTGGGGGAACTCATCCTGGGTCTAGATTGACATCTAGAAATCCAGGGGTTCCTGTTCCTCTGAGCTAGTGCCTACCCTTTCCAACCAAATACTGACTTCTGAACTAATCCCTAGGGTTTTTTTCTGACGCTGTGGCCTGAGAGTGGAAATGCTGCCTTAGTGAGAGGGGTTCAGGAAGCAGTAGGCATCATTTTTACTCAACCTGCCTGGCCTTTGGTGAGTTTGGGAGTGTTGACAGTCATGAGCCTTGGCAGAGAAGGAAGGTCAGAAAGAGAAGTACACAGGCAGGGGGCCAGGTCCCTACTTGCCTCATTACGGAGAATTCAGCGTTGTCTGTCTGGTTGGCAGGGCACACCTAATCACAGTTTGCAAAGGAAAGTGATATGAAGGGACAGCTGCAAGCCAGCCACAATCTAGATCTGAGAAGATTAAGCATTCACTTCACTTGGAAGAAAGAGAAGGAAGGAAGCCGAGGGCTTAGCAGGGTAAGTTACTTTACCATCAGCTGGTCTGCTTGCTTAGTTTATAGTTGAGTAAACCAATTATCACCCCAGAGAGTGTTAATCACTGATCAAGCAGCTGAATGTGGTCCTAATAGCAATGTTCCTAATGTATTGCTCCTTTTCTCTTTCTCTCCCAACCCCTTTTGAGGATCCCCAATGACTAGCTTCACTCTGCCTTCTCTTCCCTACCTCCCCAAAGACGTTTTGTGTTTGCTGATAAATTAGAGAAAATTAGATGGGCCTTCCTGATCTGGAGATGCTGAGAAGATGACTGTGGTTTAGGTGAAACTTGACGCTTTTGGTGGTAAGGAGGAAGAAAGATGAGAGACTGAGGTCTGGGAATAGGCTAATATTTTAGGGAATTTGGAGATGAAGGATAAGAGTTTTTCTAGGCCATCCAGTTCATGTCTCCTCTCCTCTCCAGTCCTTGGTGTTGGTGTTCTCTCATATACTGGGAATAAATTAGAGCCCAAGTCACTGGGGATGGCTAGAAAAAAGTTAAACTGATTTGCTTTATAGGTGGGGTTGACTCTGAACTCTGGAAAATTCTGAAAGCTTTCTAAAATTCTTTCCAACTTCTCCCTTGTCCCTTCAGTTTTTTGCCTTTGTTTCTCTTCATTACCTGTGCCCTGCCCCCACCTCGAATTTAGAAGGTCCTGTGGCTCATTGCAGGAAAATTAGAACCAGGGAACCTGCATCTGGGCCTGCAGTACACAAAGTCAGACATGAGCCTGATGATATATGTAGATGCAAATGCAAAGACCTGGCTGCTCATTCCCACCTTCTTATCTTCCTGCCAGAAATTTGGTTCATTTGTATTGTGAACTTGCTATAGACACAGGAAACGATGATATCAGAGATTTTACCAGCACTACTCCCCTCCAAGCTGTGTGATCCCTTGAATTCCAGCCAATTCAACCAACTCCCAGAGAGCCAAGAGTTAACCTTCCATTGGAGGAAGACCTCTCTTTGGAAAGGCAGATAAGTGAGGCAGTACCTTTCTGGTCTTTTTTTTTTTTTAAGCTTCAGTGCATGGTTGTGTATCCTAGTTAGTTTAGTTCTCTGTGTGAACTGCTGCCACAGTATGACAACTGACAGACAGATGGTGTGGTTCCACGACTGGGAACTAACCCGGGGCCATGACGGTGAGAGCACTGAATCTTAACCACTAGACCACTAGGGCTGGCTCCCTTTCTGGTCTTAATTGGCTTCCATTACAGCATAAAGGCTTATGGTCAAACATCAGGAAGATATTTATTATTACACCGGGTTAATACTCTTGAGTTGTCTTGAATCAAAGATACTTTTTCTCCATACCTAAAAAGAAGAGTCCATTCTTTCAAGGTTTAAGAAGGTCTTATCTTGCCTGAGGGGGCTTGGTAGACAGAGCAGATAATTCTTCTAGAATTGCAATGATTCTGGAAATGTGATGAGAATATGATGATTAAAAGTGGAGGGAAGAGTCAGGTCACTTTCCGGAAATGGGGTCCTAAGGTGTGAAGGCACCCCTTAGTAAAGAGACGTGACCCTTAAATCCTAAAAAATCTGTCATCTTTAGGTCTCATTTCTTCTTTATTGCTGGGAATATAGAAAATATGGTATGCAGATGAGCTTAGCTACTCTGTTCTGTGGACTCTGAAACCGTTCATTCATTTGTGGGATGAGGGGAGAGATTAAAGGGGTAGAATGAAAGGATGAGGAGAAAGAAAGTACAAAGGAAAATGGAAGTGAGTTCCTCCATTAACCTGAGGACAGGGGTTTGCAAGAGCCATGTCATAAGATAATAGATATTAGCTGGATGATTCTTGGAGTTTTTTTCATAACAGATCTGGTCCGGAAGGCTTAAATTTCAGACTATTTTTGTAACAAAGAATGATCCCTGATTTGAACTTTAATAGTTAACTTCATTCACAGTAAAACCAATCACTGTCAGCATTTTTTTGTGTGTGTGAGGAAGATCAGCCCTGAGCTAACATCTGATGCCAATCTCTTTTTGCTGAGGAAGACTGGCCCTGCGCTAACATCTGTGCCCATCTTCCTCTACTTTATATGGGATGCCACCACAGCATGGCTCGACAAGCAGTGCGTCTGTGCGTGCCCGGGATCCGAACCGGCGAACCCCGGGCTGCCACAGCGGAGCGTGCGTACTTAACCGCTTGCCCCACTGCGCTGGCCCCTGTCAGCATTTTTAGCCTCTGTCATTTACCTGTCCCTGGAGGCAGTTAAGCTGGGGGTTAATAATTTTTTAGCTTTTCAATCTCTATACGTACCTTTCTTTCTTCCTTTTTTTTTTTTCAATTGAGGTGAAATTAACATAAAATTAATCCTTTTAAAGTGAGCAATTAAATGGCATTTGTTACTTTCACATTGTTGTGCAACCACCACCTCTGTCTAGTTCCAAAACATTCTCATCACCCCCAAAAGAAAATCCCATAACCATTAAGCAGTTACTCCCCATTCCCCCTTCCACCCAGCCCCATAAATCTGCTTTCTGTCTCTGGATTTACCTATTCGCATTATTTCATATAAATGGAATCATATAACATTTCGTGCCTGGCTTCTTTCACTTAGCATGATGTTTTTGAGGTTCATCTACATTGTAGCGCATCTCAGTACTTTATTTCTTTTTATGGCTGAATAATATTCCGTTATATGCCAAGTTGTTTATTCATTCATCTGTTGGTGGACCTTTGGGTCGTTTCTACCTTTTGGCTATTGTGAATAGTGCTGCTGTGAACATCTGTGTTGAAGCATTTGTGTGAGTACCTGTTTTCAATTATTTTGAGTATATACCTAAGACTGAAATTGCTGGGTCGTATGGTCATTCTACATTTAACTTTTTGTGGAGTCACTATACTGTTTTCCATAGCGGCTGCACCATTTTACATTCCTACATCAGTGCATGAAGGTTCTAATTTTTCCACATCCTTGCCAACACTTGTTGTTATCTGTTTTTTTGATAATGGCCATCCCAGTGGATGTGAAGTGGTGTCTCATGGTTTTGATTTGCATTTTCCTAATGATTAGTGATGTGGAGCATCTTTTCATGTGCTTATTGGCAATTTGTGTATATTCTTTGGACAAGTGTCTATTCAAGTTCTTTGCTCATGTTTTAATTGGGTTTTTGTTGAGTTTTAGGAGTTCTTCACATATTCAGGATATTAATCTCTTGTCAGATATATGATTTGCAAATATTTTCTCCCATTCACTGGTTGCCACTCTGTCCTTTGATGCACAAAAGTTTTTGATTTTGATGTAGTCCAGTTTATCTATTTTTTCTTTTATTGCCTGTGCTTTTGGTGTCATATCCAAGAAATTGCCAGATCCAATATCGTAAAGCTTTTCCCCTATGTGTTCTTCTAAGACTTTATAGTTTTAGCTCTTACATTTAGGTCTTTAGACTTAATAATCAAACCCAAACCATTCTATTTAATTAATTCCCAGAATGTTCCCATCTACATTTCTGTGCTTATATTCTTCTGTGTGCTTAGAATTCCTTTTTCCCTATCTCTGTGTATTCAAAGTATTACCATCTTTCATGGTCTATACCAATTGCTGCCTGCTCCATAAAGTCTTCCTAAAGCTCACCAACTAAAGAGACTCTCTTCTTCTGATCTCTCATTAGTGTTTTAGTTTCATTTTTCTTATAGGATTTATATACTGCCTTATATTATAATTTACATTTAATCCTTCTACAAGACATTTAGATGTTAAGTATATTTTTCATATTTGTTTCCATTATAGTATTTTGCAAATGATTTTATCTGTTTATCAATAAATATTTATTGAAAGAATGTATGTTTTTATTTTTTCCAATATAGTCCCTTTTGTTTACTCAGTCCATGTGGAAAGAATGGGAGAAGACAAGCCAGGGAAGGAGGACATCACAGAGTTCCTGTGGGTGGGTGTGGGGCTTAGTTCTACTTCAAAACTCACTACTTTAGGAAATTTTCCTCATAATTTGCATAACTTGCTTTGACTACATAATTCTTAGCATTGTGGTGCTCATTTTGCATTGCATTTAATTTCTACTTCTTGGTGTATTGCTTATAAATGTGATGATAGGTCTTTTAAAATGAATGTTTTATTTCCCCAACTAGATTAAATTGACTAATTCTCCAGTTAGATGGTAGTTTGGACAGCCAAAACTTCTGTTGCTCTTTCCTCTCTTTTATTTTATTTATTTATTTTTTTGGTGAGGAAGATCAGCCCTGTGCTAACATCTGCCAATCCTCCTCTTTTTTTGCTGAGGAAGACTGGCCTTGGGCTAACATCCGTGCCTCATCTTCCTTCACTTTATATGGTACGCCGCCACAGCATGGCTTGCCAAGTGGTGCATCGGTGCACGCCCAGGATCCGAACTGGTGAACCCCGGCCACCTCATCTGAACGCGGGCACTTAACCACTTCCACCACCAGGCTGGTCCCCTCCTCTCTTTTATTTTTTTATTTTTTTTAAAGATTTTATTTATTTATTTATTTTCCCCCCAAAGCCCCAGTAGATAGTTGTATGTCATAGCTGCACATCCTTCTTTTT